TCAGAGCCTGGAGCCTGTTTCAGATTCTGTACCTCCCTCTCTCTCTCTGACCCTCCCCTGCTCATGCTGTTGTCTCTGTCTCTCAGAAATAAATATAACATTAAAAAATAAATAAATTAGTTAATTAATTAAACAAACTATTGTGGCACTTACCATGTTATATAGTCTATCTTATATTGTATTATATATTGTAATTAGTTTTGCTTCTGTGCCCCTAATAAGAATGTAAGCCATCTGCATAGGAATGGGATTCCAATCCTTATACCGTAGTATCTCAGGTAGCACATGGCAACAGGTCTAAATACACAGTTGTGGAGCTGATAAACATGAAATATAGGTGAAAAAGTGAGGAAATTCCAATGTATTTACTGTATTTTTTTCTTTTACTAAACTTTATACTCAATGTGAAGCTTTAACTCACAACCAGGAGATAAAGAGTGACATGACTGAGCCAGCTAGGTGTCCCTAGAGGCTCTAATGCATTTATTTTAACTATAATACTAGTAAGTATCAGAGAACTGAGTCAGTTGCTGCAACAGCAAATCTAAATAACAATGGCTAATACAGCATGGTGAATTTTTCTCATGCAATGAGAATTCTACAGGAAGCACATTACTGGCATAGATTTGAAGTTCAAGGATGTCATGTCTAAAATATCAATAATACTCCTGGTCTTTTAGGGTTACAAGGTGGCTGCTCCACTTCCTGTCATCATGTGTATCTTTCATGAATAAGGAAGAAAAGAATGGGCCAGAAGAAGACAAAGCAACATCTGTATCAAGAAAGCAAAACCTTTCTAGATTATTTCATCCAATTTCTGGTTATATTTCACTAGACAGAAGTATAGGAGATTGTTTCTTAAAATACCAAGAAGCATGAGATGATGAGGGGCTTGTATTTTTTTCTTCTTTTTTTTCCCGCAATACTGCAACTCCGTAAGTAGTGGGGAGAGGAGAATAAATATTGAGTAAGTCACAGGAAATCTCTGTCAGAGGGGTACTGATGAGCATGAGTGCTAGGAGAAGTCAATGTAAATAAAACAGAGAGCATATGAAACCAACTGAGAGCATATGAAACCAACTTCTCCATCCTGCCCAGTAATGGCCGACAGGAGTCAAGCATTTTAATTTATAAGACCTAGCCCTACTGAGGCATAAGTTTCATGGGAATCCTAACATAATGTCTTTCTATTTTTCATTCAGCTCTTCATGAGCTTCATAAATGAAGTTTTCCTGAGCATTTTCTATATATCTGACACTGTGATACATTGAATAAAATAACAATTGTCTTCAAGCTGCCAACTTTAATTAAGTGAACTTTTCAATATCAGTAGTGAGCACAGGATCATGCAGTGGTCCACTGAAGAGGTACATAACTCAAAATGGGTATGTGCTTGTGGAGTGGGAGTTTAGTCAGAGAAGAATTGCTACAGAAGGAGAAAGTGAGGCTCACCAAATGACATGCAGAAGGGAGTTACTAGCATAGAGTATTAGTGCATAACGGCACAGGAAGGCAGGACAAGTAAAAAGTATTCTGAGATTTGTAATTTTTTAGTGGTGCAAAGCACAGAACTGAAAGGGCACGGGCAACGGTAGTGAGAGAAATTAGAAGAGAAGTAATCAAGAAGCAGTGGGTCTTTTTACACAACAAGACACTAAACCATTTTAAGCCAATATTAGTTTCATGCTTTAGGAAACTTATCCTGGTCCTATTGAAGACCGTTTACTGGACAGATAACACCGGAAAGAGAGGATTCAGTTAAAGGACTATTCTAACTGTTCAAATGAAAAATATGTAGGCCCATCTCAAAACAATGCCAGAGGAATTGGGGGGGAAAAAAAGATAATTGACTCTAAAGACATTAAACAAGTTTAAAAAACACATTCACCAAATGCTGTGTTGACATGTGTGCATGGCGAGGAATGGAGGGCAGGCAGGAAAAACAAGTATAGAGGTAGTGCAGAAATGAGGGTAGAGAAATATGACAACTTTCACTTCTTCACTCATTCACTAATTCAATAACAATCATTGAGCCAATTTTCCTAAAGATGGCATATGTTTGCAGTCAGACATAATAATATACACACCTGTTCATATTAATGTCTACACATGTGACAAAAGCACAACTTGAGGCAACCTCACCAAGAAAACAGTCACTCAGTCACTGAGAAACCTAACAATGTGCTCTTGAATCATGGATGAACAGCCTACTTCCTAAAGTAAATCTCAAAGGCCAGGGGAATAATATAAAACACCAGATATTATTAAGCAAAGCAAAGGCCTGATCAATACCATGTTTCCATAGTGAGTTACTTAGGAGCATTCAAAACAACTTATTAAGGAAATGAGAAACTTATTAAACTGGACTCTAGTAATTAAAAATAAAATCTGTTATCTAACATATCAGGTAAAAATTATTAAACCATAAGGAAAATGATGCAGGCTTCACAAAGCCAATCCATTCCTAAAGAGAACAGCAAGACACAAAGGAACTGATTACAGTCCCAGGTCCAAAAAAACCAACACAAGTGATGAGTTGGAAGCATGCAACAGTTTCTAAAATTAGCATTCTATTATCCTGCCTTTACATTATGCATAAAGGTGCCATAAGGTTCACTAACCCAATTGGCCTTGTCACTGCTGCTACCAGTTCAACCATGCTATTAACAGGGAATCTTAATGCACTCTCTGGTTTCAAAGAAAATGTATAGATGAATGAATAAGGCCCAATGTAATTCTGGCTTCCTGACAAGAAGAGTATTCATATTAAAGAATCCTTCTCTTTTTCAAAAGATCGGTTTCCTCTATGTTTGTGCAGTGGGAGACTATTTGACCTTAAGGACAATGGAATCAACAAATTAGCAGAAATGACTACGATTAAAACAAATGCATAGCAGTGGTTGTAAACTCACTTTGAAGTGAAAAAAAATCTGGATTAGAATTTCCTAGCCTCTCTAGGCTTCATTAATAATATAGAAATAATAGCACCTCGTTCACAGAATTACTGTGAGAAATAAATGCTTATGAGGTACCCAGTTCCAAATCTGAAATAAATAAGTCCTAAATAGACATTAACATAAAAGATGGATTAACAACATCTTGTGATGTTGTACATCTTGTGAAGTAATGATTTGCATTTCCCTTTTACAGGAGATGAGATTAAAGCTCTGAGAGGGCCAGTGACTTGTCCAAGGTCACAATGCTAGTAAATATCAGAACCAGGATTCAAGTACAGAACAACTGTGGTAGATAGCAGATTGCTCTATTTTTTTTATTCTACATTTTTTTAAATTTTTTAATGTTTTATTTATTTCTAGGAGAGAGAGAGAGAGAGAGAGAGACAGCGTGAGCAGGGGAGGGTCAGAGAGAGAGGGAGTCACAGACCGAAACAGGCTCCAGGCTCTGAGCTGGCAGTCAGCACAGAGCCCGACGCGGGGCTCGAACCCACGAACTGCGAGATCATGACCTAAGAGAAAGTCGGACACTTAACCGACTAAGCCACCCAGGCACCCCATTATTCTACATTTTAGAAGACATCCTTTCAAAAAGTCAGGACTTAATTTAAATATGGTCCTAGCTTATGGCTTCAGAAGTAAATGAAAGAGGGAACATACAGAAGAAAATAAAAGCAAAAGCAGTCTACTGTAAAAAGCTCGTACTACAGTCCTATACATGATCAAATTTAGAACATAGGACCTGTGGGAAATGGTTAAAACAATCAAGATAATTTAGTCTGGAGAAGAGACAATAGGAAGAAATATAATTGCAACTACAAAATTTACAGAAATGTAATTTAAAACATTATGCACACTTTCAGTTTGCAACAATGATTTAATTATTCCCAAAAGACTAAAAATTAAATGTAACAAAAAATGACAGTTTTTTGTTGTCAATTTTGAATAAGAGTTTGTGGGGATGGAAGTGATTTCAAGGGACAGGTGAGAGCTCTATTTATGATTCATGGATAAATTACTATGTTTATATTTGCAAATTCTGTAGCTATTGCGGAGCTGCTGGATTTTAAGGAAATATTAAAACCTGAATTATTTTTCACATGATGCACATTTCAAAAACAAAATGTAATATCTGAAATTTCATCTTGAATTATTAAAGAACCCATGAGTTTACCAAAAAAGAAACTGCTCATAGCAATTTTCCACTTAACAAAGTTATTACCAGCAAATAATTTGATTAGTATGTAAAAATATATTTCAGTGTATAATTTCACACTTACTAAGTGATATATTACTTGCCATTATCTTGAGATGAAGAAGTTTAGGGACTAGATGTTTCCAAATTCTACTTTCAAACTGACCACTGATTCCAGATAGAACCACAAATTAGGGCAAGAAAAAAATAAAATGCATATTTCTTGATAGTTACACACCATACTGATCAAATCAACCTAGTATAAAAAAAGGACCAGCAACATCTAATAACAAACATATTTTTAAAAAATGTCTAAATTTCTCATGAACCCATAATTACAGAACCACACCAGGGGGCGCTCTTAACACTGAAATGATGGATAACATATTTTAAAACACATGGTGGTCCCAGTTGGCCAAAATGAGATTTTTTTTTTCTAGGCATGCAGTACTTGCAACAAGTGCTTATCTCTTGAAAATGTTTGCTGGCAACACACACATTTTCTTTTACATCCAAAATGTTTGTGTTGTTAAGACTATCAAGTTAGTCTACCAAGAAAAACATTTTCTGCTGATAGGAAACATCTTATTATGGAAACATTTGTCTATTTTACTGGCATTTGTCTCTTACTCTTTCTGTGGTTATGCAGGTTCTCAATAGTCAACAAACTGCTTAAGAGTTCATAAAACTTTAAAAGGGTTTCACTGCCCATTTAATTTTTTACAAAATTTCTAACCAGATCTTCAGTTTCCCCCTTCCCACCATGAAAAAAGAGGTCATCTAAAATTGACACAGATAGCAAAATTCTAATCTGGGCAGTATTATAGGCCATTTCCATATTTTCTCATTACCTGGTAAGAATGTTTAAGCCCAGATGCTCTTCTCAGGAAGTTCAAAATTCAGACTCCTAAAAATATAATTAGAAATTCAGTGTGAGGCTTCAAGAAAATAGAAAAAGGCAAAAGGTAAATTTGGGCTATATTACCTAGAAAATCACCATTTACTACTCCATCAATAGTAAGCATTTTTATACAAATGACATCTGTTTCAATAAGCTTTAAGTAAACAACTTCAAGCTGAATCAAAAGGATCACGAAGTTTGTGAAAGAAAGAGACAGAGTTCCCAGTCTTCCTATGGTAGTAGAGAGAGGGTTGTAAACTTTTCCCAACCCATTAGTTGAGATCACACCCTTTTTCTACCAGCTGCCTCCATGACTCTACCTGTGCCTAAACTGGAAGAGTTCTGGACAAGGTTAACCAAGGATGGAGAGCAGGTTATTACCTCAAATATGGGTTCAGGGAAACATGAATGCACCCATCTCTGTTTGCACCCTAAATGAAATTCATCAGGATATAATATTTCAGATCCTTTTGATAAGAACAAATTTTTCATTCTAGAACAAAAGTAAGGGTTTAAAGTAAAATACAGCTGGAGAAATAGATACATTTATTTATTACTTTGGATCAAAGTATATGTGAATGATGGAAAGTCCTACCTACCCAGAGGTAGACTTTAATGTAATTTTTGAGTAAATGGAGGGGATGGAAGAAAAAAAGAACACAGAACTGGGGCACCTGCATGACTCAGTAGGTTAAGCATCTGACTTCAGCTCAAGTCATGATCTCATAGTTCATGGGTTTGATTCTCATATCGAGCTCTCTGTCAGTACAGAGCCCACTTCTGAACCTCTGTCCCCCTCTCTTTGCCCCTCTCCCTCCCTCCTCTCAAAAATAAACAAACGTTTGGGGCACCTGGGTGGCTTAGTCGGTTAAGCATCCGACTTTCACTTAGGTCATGATCTCGCGGTTCGTGGGTTCGAGCCCNAACATCAGACTTTGGTTGAGGTCATACATGATCTTGTGTTAGATGGGTTCGAGCCCCGTGTTAGGCTCTGTTCTGACAGCTCAAAACCTGAAGCCTGCTTCAGATTCTGGGTCTCCCTCTCTGCCACTTCCCTGCTTGCACCCTTTTTCACTCAAAAATAAACATTAAGGGGCGCCTGGGTGGCTTAGTCGGTTGAGCGTCCGACTTTCGCTTGGGTCATGATCTCGCAGTTCGTGGGTTCGAGCCCCGCGTCTGGCTCTGTGCTGACTGCCAGCTCAGAGCCTGGAGCCTGTTTCAGAGTCTGTGACTCCCTCTCTCTCTGACCCTCCCCTGCTCACGCTGTCTCTCTCTCTCCTAGAAATAAATAAAACATTTAAAAAAATAAATAAATAAATAAACAAACGTTTAAACAATCAGAAAAAACAAAAAAACTGAACACGGGATGAAAAGAGATCAGGCTATGGAAGAGAAAACCCTGCATGAAGAAGTATGTTTGGAGTCGGGTGACTACTTTTACGTACATTACTCCCTCTTGATCTTTGGAATGAAAGAAACAATTACTGAGACTAACCAAGGAAAATGAAGCCTTGTTTGGTAAGAAGGAACATCTGACATAAACCAATCTGGCATATGGTAAAGCCACATGAGTTTCCATCAATAGCAAAGTTAGAAAGCTGTGGTGTTCAGGATTCCATGTGGTCCATCCTGTTAGAAGCAGGCCCTTAGTTATTAGAAAATGAAGAGTTACTCTCCACTAAAATTGGAATGGTTGCCAGAGAGCCAGCCACCAAGTGACCCATAACTTAGATAAGGTTCTAGTGCCACCTGAAAATAAGGATACCAATCAAAAAATGACAAATCTGTAAAATGGTTTAATGAAACGGATGGTAGGTATGAGAGGACAGAAACAAACAACGATGTCACAAAGGTTTTTTTATCTAAGCAAATGAAAGGATAGAGCTGTCATTTAGTGGGAATGGGAAAAAATAAGAAGAGCAGGTTACTAGAGGAAATAATTATTTTGACTTTGGATATGTGAATTTTATATGTCTGTCAGACATAGTCACGAGGAGAAATATAACGTAAGCAGTTAGCCAAATCAGTGTAGAGCTTAGAGAAGGACATCTAGCTATAAACTGGGCATTTTCCACTCACTGACAATATCTAAAGCCATGATACATAAAAGGAAGTGAGTGCAGACAAAGAGAGAGGACACAGACAAAAACTAGCCTGGAAGTTGGTAGACTTAGGTGGCTCCAGCATCCGTGCCTCTTGGTGGTCATACCCTTGTATAATTTTCATTTTTTAGAATTTGGACAGGACCTGTAACTTGTTTCTAACTCGATATATGTGACAGGGTGTATATGGATTATACTGTGTGATTATATAAGATTATAGCGCCCAGTCTTGCTGGAGTCCTCTGCTAGTTTACATTTATGAAGCAAACAGCCATGCCGTGGAACCACTTGGCAGAGAAATGAGTGTGGCCTCTAAAAACTAAAGGAAGCCTCAGGCTGGCATCTTGTAAGGTCTCCAGCCTCCAGCCAACAAGAAAATGAAGCCCTCACTCTTACAGTCTCAAGGAAATAAATTCTGCCGACTATTTGAAGAAATTTGGAAATAAATCCTTCTCTAGTCAAGCATTCAGATGCTACCTCAAGCACCAGCTGACACTTTGTCTGTAGTCTTGCAGAAGACCTAGTTAAGGTGTGCTCAAACTTCTCACCTAAAGAAACTGAGATAATGTGTGTTGTTTAAACCACTAATTTTGTGGTAATGTGTTATGCACCAAGAAAAAAGTAATGCAGGCCCTGAGTTACTACAACATTTAGATATAAGGGAGACATGAAAGAGCTAGCAAAAAAGACCAAAGAAAAAAAAGGCCAGGGAGGTAGGAGGAAAGCCAACAGAAAAGCATTTCTTCAAGATGCTTATCCCCAGATTCCTCAGAGAAATCTGAGACAAAGAGCAAAGGGGCAGGTGTCTGCTGTCCTTTGGAGGCTCACAGAGAACTGCCATTGAAAGGGACACAAGACCAGGGGCTACCTCCATTCTATCCTCTTTCTGAGGAGAAAATGGTAAAATGCAGTTCTAAATAAATCAAATTTACTCTTAACAGGCTCCCCAGAAGACCCAATTAGTGCCAGAGTTGTGCTACTTCACTGTTTGTAAGGCTTTGAAAGTTGGTATTTCAAAACTGGCTAACACTTAACACCAATCAAAGTCAGCTCATTTTAATTATGAAGTCGCTCACATAACCTATTTATAAACTTTGCATTGTTATGAGACATGCTTAGATTGGCTTGTAATTTATTTTTTTTAATCAATACAACCAAATCTAATGAGGATGTATTACGTGCAAGGCCGAGTGAACAGCTATAGTTCAGTGAAAGGAGCTGCCCTGCTGCTTTTGTACACGAATCATTTGTACACACACCCCCACTACGCACAGAGCACTGGCACACAGTATCATTTGTACGCACAACCCTACTACGCACAGAGTGCTGACACACAATCAAAGGCTATGCTGTGCCCTAATATGATTAGCATTAAGCTTTTATCTAGATATATCTATAGTTAGCATTCCATTTTTCTATAATACTTTGAAAGCAATTTCTTCTCTATGTATTAATTCAGTGAAGATGTACTGAGCACTTACTAAGGTACACAGAGTTGCAAACTGGATCAAACAGTTCACAATTACTGTACTGTAAGAATGATATTGTCCAAAATGTGTCCCTTTTATGTCCTCAATATACCTTACTTATGTATATGTGTATCTATCTACATTTACCTATATTTGTCTATATACACCCTGCCTATGCTATATATATATACATACATACATATATATGCTATATATATATTTGTGTATATACTATATATGTATGTATATATAGCACACATACATATACTATATATATAGCATGTAGTATACGCTATACATTTATTAAATATTTGTCTATATATACACCCTGCCTAACTAGCAATACAACTCTGCCCCCTGCACTATCAGCTTTTCCCCAAGTTCCATTCTATCATCAAGGCTAAAAGATTTAAATCACTATGGTCCAGTCTGTTAATTTAGCAGTCTTCTTTATTATCAATAATATACTTGGCACTCTGAGGCAAGGGGAAATATAAGATACACAGCTATGTGCTCAATAAGCATTACTTAGCTGATTAGCTACGTTCCAAAATGACTGTGGTGGCCTGAATGAAAAAAGAAATATATATTTAGACAGGAAAATGTAAATATACTGTTGGATAAATATATACAGCTAAATAAAAAGAGCCTTCAAAATGTTTAAACCATAGTTTTCACTCAATAATTCGTTTAATATATTAGAGACAATTACTATTTTTGAAAAATATTCATATATAACTATATTTAAAACTTAAATCTAGCTCTCTGCTTTCCCACAGCTATTACAGAGAAATACAGATTTATGTAACCTTATTTCCAACAAAATAGAAAGTATTTCATTTTATTACAAAATAAAGAAACAAACAACATATTTTTTCTGGGTGGTAAATTCTAAGAATTTATTATAAGGATCATTAAGGAAAAAATCAGAGTGCATATCTCCCTTAATGATCTTAAGCAAGATCGATAATTTGATTTGAAATGGCTAAATTAAAGTGTTGTACTGAACAAGATATACAGCTCCATACAGAATTTATACTGTGATTCTACTATCATTCATTGTGTTGTTGATATATCCATTATACCCATAGAAAATTATTTTTTAGGACAATCTGGTGAGCATTTTCAAGACCAGAAAAAGGCTGCTAAATGAACATAATTTTCTTGTACTTTACAAAATACACAATATATCCACATTGTACTGATAGCTCACCTGAAAAACATACTTCAATATTAATATCTATTTTACACTTCCCAAAAGGTAAGGCTTTACTACATTTTCATGTACAGTACTATATGAAGTTATGTGAGCACAATTTTGGTCTGTAAGCTCTGCAAAAATGTAAATCAATTACTAACACTTAATGAAGTATAGGTGTTTACCAGTGTCATATGAGTGAGAACAAATCGTTACTCTACAGAGGCCTAATACATA